TTGCGACTGAAAGTAGCACCTTTTAAACTCTCAAGGTCTCGTTCAACGTGATTCTAGGTCTCGTTCAACGTCATACGACGAGGCCAGAGCGTCTATAAAAATCGTCAATCCTTTGGCCCTGGTTCGGCCCGGGAGAAAAATGACTATTACATGTCTATCGATACACTTGATGGAAAGGTCGTTTTTATAATAACGAGGGTTAGGATGATGACATATCCTTCTTTTCTATAATCACTGATGACAAGTTTATTTTTAGAAAGATGAAATATCCTTTTTTTTTGTCATCACTAATGGTAAGTGTTGTAACCTAGGGAGGGTTACTGAATAATCAAACGACGGTTGGTAATGAACGATAATACTTAGGACAAGAACAACACATATAAGATTCGCCAGAGGCGCGTAGAAGTAGTAGTCAGCTGCTAGAAGTGAGACAAGTAAATTTCACAATGAATCTTCAACTGCCCCGCGCGATCAGATGTGGCACAAAGCCAAATTTAATGTGGGGTTTCAGAGTCCGTAGTTTCGGCCAAAAATCCCCCTTAGGCCCCGCATAAAACGAGTTCGGGTAGCTGCTTCCCGAGACGAGATTCTGTCCTTCATAGCCTCGTCTGGGGATCCTCTTTGTCCGAAGGCAGAGAGTTTGGCCAGCACAGCTGGTGACGAATCTCCAGCTGCAGACCCATATACAATATTTACTACGGTATTTATGTAAATGGGGGCTTACCCATTATCGTCGGTAGGTATGCTACAACAGTAAGGTTATTTTTAGAATGATTAAATATCATCATCATTTTGAATCATAACATTCCTTTCAAATGGGATTCGATTTTTGAAGAGGTAAATGTCGGAAGGGGCGAGATCTGAAGAATATGGTGGATGTCAGACCTGGGGAATGTTGCACAAGCCATGGTCACAGATGGAAACTGTGGTATGTTGAGATGGCTACGCTCTTGACACTTTCCTTCCAAATCCCTGCTAGGAATAACGGAAGTGAGCGAAGACATTTGAATAGTGTGCATTTTCAGCAGAGTTGAAAGTCAATCAGTGTTAAGTGGCTTTACTCTACATACCTTAGCGCAATAGCAATTGAACCGATACTTTTTGATAAAACCTTGTATATTCAGAACACATATTAAAAATTCAAGTTTGCTGTTGTGGTCATGATTAGTGTTATGGGATCTTACCCATAATAATAATAATGGACTATTCCATACTTAATAAATACCGCGCCTCAGGAGTAGGTAAGGAGTCTGTCGTTCACTTTCTGAGCGAACGGTTCGGTTTAACTCTCTGCTTTCGTCCCGAAGGAGGCTACGCCGAAGGGCGGAGTCTCCTTCGGGAGGAACCCGTTTATACGGGTTCAAATGGGTTACGCCGAGCCAAATGGCTCGGAAAGCCCACGTTAAAAAAAGGCCTTGTGCCACATTCGTGGGGGACGACTAAATATAGTCTGTCGTTCACTTTCTGAGCCCGGTTTACCTCTCTGTCTACGGATTTATCCGAAGGGCGGAGTCTTTATAAAACCGGCCCTTCCGTTTATACGGGTTCAAATGGGCTATTTTTTTGGCCGAGCCTAATGGCTCGGAAATGCCTACGTTAAAAAGGCCTTGTGCCATATGACGCCCCTCGTGGGGGGACGACTAAATATAGTCTGTCGTTCACTTTCTGAGCGACGGTTCGGTTTACCTCTCTGTCTACGGACGGAGAGGAACCCGAAGGAGGCTACGCCGAAGGGCGGAGTCTCCTTCGGGGAGGTAAAACCGGCCCCTGAACCCGTTTATGCGGGTTCAAATGGGCTATTTTTGGCCGAGCCAAATGGCTCAGAAAGCCCACGTTAAAAAGGCCTTGTGCCACATGACGCCCTTGTTGGGGGACGACTAAATATAGTCTGTCGTTCACTTTCTGAGCGACGGTTCGGTTCAACTCTCTGTCTACGGACGGAGGGAACCCGAAGGAGGCTACGCCGAAGGGCGGAGTCTCCTTCGGGGAGGTAAATACCCTGAACCCGTTTATGCGGGTTCAAATGGGCTATTTTTTCCTTCCAAATGGCTCGGAAAGCCCACGTTAAAAGGCCTTTATGACGCCCTTGTGGGGGACGACAAATATAGTCTGTCGTTCACTTTCTGAGCGACGGTTCGGTTCAACTCTCTGTCTACGGACTAATACGCCCTTCGGCGTAGCCTCCTTCGGGAAAAATGCCCAGAACCCGTTTATAAAATGGGCTAATTTTTGGCCGAGCCTTGGCTCGGAAATGCCCACGTGACGACGCCTCGTGGGGGACGACTAAATATAGTCTGTCGTTCACTTTCTGAGCGAACGGTTCGGTTTAACTCTCTGCTTTCGGGCGGGAGGAACCCGAAGGAGGCTACGCCGAAGGGCGGAGTCTCCTTCGGGGAGGTAAACCGGCCCTGAACCCGTTTATACGGTTTCAAATGGGCTATTTTTTGGCCGAGCCTAATGGCTCGGAAATGCCCACGTTAAAAAGGCCTTGTGCCACATGACGCCCTCGTGGGGGGACGACTAAATATAGTCTGTCGTTCACTTTCTGAGCGACGGTTCGACACCTCTCTGTCTCCGGACGGAGAGGAACCCGAAGGAGGCTACGCCGAAGGGCGGAGTCTCCTTCGAGGAGGTAAAACCGGCCCTGAACCCGTTTATACGGTTTCAAATGGGCTATTTTTTGGCCGAGCCTAATGGTTCGGAAATGCCCACGTTAAAAAGGCCTTGTGCCACATGACGCCCTCGTGGGGGACGACTAAATATAGTCTGTCGTTCACTTTCTGAGCGACGGTTCGGTTCAACTCTCTGTCTACGGATGGAGGGAACCCGAAGGAGGCTACGCCGAAGGGCGGAGTCTCCTTCGGGGAGGTAAACTCAGCCCTGAACCCGTTTATACGGGTTCAAATAGGCTATTTTTGGCCGAGCCTAATGGCTCGGAAATGCCCACGTTAAAAAGGCCTTGTGCCACATGACGCCCTCGTGGGGGACGACTAAATATAGTCTGTTGTTCACTTCTGAACCGACAGTTCGGTTGAACTCTCTGCCTTCGGGCGGAGAGGAAACCGAACGAGACTACGCCGAAGGGCGTAGTCTCGTTCAGGGAGGTATACCGGCCCTGAGCCCGTTTATACGGGTTTAATGGGCATATTTTGGGGCCGAGCCCACGCGCTCGGAGAACCCACAATAAATAACCGACCTTGTGCCACATGCTGCCCCAGTGGGGGTGGGTGACTGAATATCGTCAGTTGTTCACCTCCTGACCGGCTGTTCGGTTGAACTCTCTGCCTTCGGGCGGGGAGCAACCCGAACGAGGCTACGCCGAAGGGCAGAGTCTCTTTCAGGGAGGCAAACCGACTCTGAATCCGTTTATACGTGTTCAATGGGCATATTTTGAGGCCGAGGCCACGGGCTCGGAGATCCCACGTTAAAAAACCGGCCTTGTGCCACATGCTGCCCCAGTGGAGGGAGTGACTGAATATCGTCAGTCGTTCGAGTCTAGACCGGCTGATCGGTTGAACTCTCTGCCTTCGGGCGGGGAAGAACCCGAAAGAGGCTACGCCGAAGGGCGGATTCTCTTTCGGGGAGGTAAACCGACCCTGAACCCGGTTATACGGGTTCAATGGGCATATTTTTGGCCGGGCCCACGGGTTTGGAGATTCCACGTTAAACCGCCCTTGTGCCACATGGCGCCCTCGTGAGAGGGATGACTGAATATCGTCAGTAGTTCAAGTTGAATCAAGATTCGTGTCAGAGGCAGTTCGAAAGAGAGTCGTGTTCAGACAATTATTGCAAGACATTGAAATAGTGATACTGGTCGAGACTACATTGTTCTCTCTACTAAACCTGATTGTTCATACTAACACTTCTACTTCTCTGTATATATTCCTGTTTGTAATATATCTGTGTTATTCCGTACCGGTGTTCGAGTTCTTCTTTATTGGTTCTACCTTGGACTATCACCGTGGTACAAGGAACCGGACCATAATAATTAGGGACAGATCTTACGAAATTTAATGCCCGCTTTATGGTAGATGCTTACTTCCCACTTAGTATCATCTAAATGTAAGCCTTCTGATTTTCAAGTACACAATCCCTCCATCTTTTGAATATTTAGAACGTTGCAATCAATCTGCTGCTGTTGCTAAATCTGATGCCATAAAGACATTGAGCCCACGCGAGCCGGCTTGTCTGTCTAGTTCTCACGGTATTGACAGATGATCAAAACACCCTCACACGCCAGATTAATCTGCTGGATGTCCTGGTGGACGATGTCCTTCCAGCGGCTGCGTGGTCGGCCGCAAAGTTGTCGTCAGTAAGAAGGTAGTGGATTGAACTAGTAGATATGGTGGAGTGGTCATCAAGTCGTCGCAGGACGTGACCGAATCAGCGAACACAGCGCTGAGCGATGGTACGCGTGATGTTAGGCTGGACGGTATTCCGGCGGAGCTTTTTATTGGACACCGAATTGGGCAGGTGCACTTCCTCGATGGCCTTGAGGGCGCAGAACTCGAAGCTGTGGACGCGAGTGGCGACATTGTTTGGCGCCGTATAGTAGCACAGAGAGGGTTGTGTCGTCACAAACTCGTAAATGGTGTGTCTGGGGATGTTGCGACGACACGATAGTGGTCTACATGACATTTGTAGGCAGCACGCGTGAGGAGGTTGTTGGCGTTGGAAACTTCTAAGCCCAAGTATACGAAGGATATGGCAAACTGGACGGGGTCTCTGCCAGTGATGTTGGACGGGGATCAACTTACTAATAGTTTCATCTATATGGATTTTAAATTTAAGTCAAGTTTAATAACTATTCTGTTTTGGCACTCTCATTTCTATAAAGAAAAATTTTTGTCTAAAATCTTTGAGATGTGAAATTATCATTAACATAATAATATGAGCCATGTTTCAAAACACGAATCGTATTATAGCCTTTTCATATCTAGACTCCCATATGAATGTCTTGTATGGCACCCAACCCAATCAGAAATGACTAAAGTGTCAATACAGCCATATCACGTTGAAACATTGGTTTCCGTACGATCACCGAAGTTAAGCAACGTCGAGTCTAGTCACTGCTCAGTACCTAGATTGGTGACCACTTGGGAATACCAAGTGCTGTAATTTTGGATGTGCGGTTGGTGCAATGTATAATGGCTCAGAATTGTTAATCGGAGAGCCGTGTTCCATTTCTAGTTATGCTCGTTATATTCAGTTACGCGCAAATATCGTTGGGAAAGATATGAATACACATTTACTCCTCTCAGTTAATTAATAAAAAAAGGCAAGGGAGTTGTGAGTGAATGGCTTTAACTCTACTTGTGAAATACAAAAAATATTTAACAAAAATGTCAAAAATAATGTTAAGAAATAAAAAAAATTAAAAATTAAAATTAATTAAAAATTAAAAAAATGTTACAATAATGCCAACAGACGCTGCCTGCTTGAACTTCCTGGGTGGTGAGCTAGAGTGTCCCCCTCTGTTTGATTATCATGATTACGCCTTCAGAATAAAAAAAAAAAGAAACAGAAGCCATCTCCCTGCCAACAGATACTGCCTTGTTGAACTTTTACGGGGTTAGAGATTCAGAGTGATTCCACTGTTTGCTTTGAATCTTTGATTCAGGTTCGAAGAGATGAACTCAGGTTTCATCTTGATATGCGGTGAAAATTCTCAGGGTCAGCCTAGAAACGTGTCACAAATGTCCTGGAAATATCAACCCGTTTCAGCTTTTGCTCTGGCGTCGATATTATTGGGATCCATCTTGCAGAAAACTTGCTTATCCCCAAGATCTCAGTTAAAAGAATATGGACCCAGCCAGAACTAATACCTATGGACTGAGCGATCTGGTGGACAGTATGACATCTGTCATCCAAAACCATAGGTGAATGGCATCAATGGCTGGACCATAAGACGTTTGCTTTACGGACTAGCGAAATTCCTGACCTATGTTTTAATTACTAAGCTTTGTCCAACAAATGCAAAACTATGAAATACAGCAGTGGTGAACAAAAAAAAACTTGAACAGTTGAGTTAAATGTAGATAAGTGAGACACCCGGAAGTATCATGGCATGTGGAACTAGAACAATCTACTCAGGTGGTCGAAATAAAAGGTTCAGTTCGAAATTTTAATCAGCTGAAGAAGGCCGGAGCCGAAACGTCGTGATCATGACAAAAAGAAATGAGGGCAACAGTCTGAACAATATAAATAATGTAAATTATTACAATAATAAATTATAAATTATTACAATACCTCATCTCAAAAATATAGATGGATAATCGATAACAAGCAAGTTTGGTAGGAAGCTCCTATTAATAGCAGAAAGAACGGTAGGTACTATATTTGAAGAACGTAAATTTCAACCGAAAGTAGCAATGACAGTTCTGTCAATGGATACCGAATGTTTCTTTATAAGAAAACGGTTAATGTTTCCATTAGAATTACCGTTACTGTATGCTTTACTATGCAGACTAGCATACTCATCTTGGTTGTTATCGTCAAAGCTCTGAATAAGAAAGAAAGGACACACAAAAAACTTTCAATCACCTAAGTCAAGATACTCATGCAGTAGTATAGAAACCTGAATATAAACACATGGATTGAATAAAAATTTCTAAACCCCAGAAGGAGTTGGAGAAACAAAACATTATTCTAGTATTTTTCAATATAGTCCCCACTTTCAGCAATGCACTTGGCCCAACGATTAAGCATTGTAATGCCATCATAGAAGAAGGTGACCTTCCAAAAACTCGTCCACAGCACATATGACCTGATCATGTTTTTTTCAAAATGGCTACTACTCAGGTAAGATTTGAGTTTAGGAAACAGTAAGAAACAATAAGAAGTCAGATGGAGCTAAGTCTGATGACTAAGGAGAATGTGATAGCAATTCAAATCCACAATTGGCTTTTTCAACTGCTGCAACCTGAGCAGTTTGAACGGGCGGGTTATTCTGGAGCAAGAGCACACCTGCCCTCAACTTAACCTCGGCATTTCGAATTGATTAGTTTATTTCATTTGTTTTATTTCTGATGCACTGTCCATTAATAGTTTAACTCTTTACCATCGCCTTCGGAATATCAAAGAGAATCCAATACTTTGCCAACAGACGCTACCTGCTTGAACTTCCTCGGTGGCGAGTCAGAATGTTTCCTCTGTTTGATTATAACCTTTGATTCGAGATGGAAGTGGTGAACACAGGTTTAATCCTGAGTTAATAATCTCCGGTGAAAATTCTTAGTGTCAGACTGGAAGCTAGTCAGAAGTGCCCTAGAAATGTCAATCCTTTTCAGCTTCTGCGCTGGTGTCAGGATTCTTAGGACCCATCATGCTGACTGCTTGCTCATCCCCAAGATCTCAGTTTAAAAAAAAAACGTATGGACCGAGCCAGAACTAATGCCTATTGACTTAGCTGTTTGCCGGACCATAGAACGTTTGTTAACGAAGACCATACAGAGAATGAAATGAACTTGTTCATCATTGCTTTTTGGACGACGTGACCGAGGGTCATGGTCTGTACTGTCTCTGTCCCGCTTGAACTCAACCGCCCGTTTCTCCAGAGTTGCATAGAGTTCTTAGCCAGTGTCTGTACTATGGATTTCCTTGCGTATTATAACTTTTTTTTGAAGATATTTTATAACAGCTCGGGTCTATATTTTGTCCATTTTTAGATTTTTCACACGCCTCTCACCTTTGCACGGGTCTCACCTGCACAGAAATTAAGACAGAAATCTAAATTAGTTTTCTTCTAGTTTTATAACAAATTGTAATGTGTTGCCACAACAAAAGTGTTCAGCTATAGCACATCTTTTTGAGTGACGCTTAGAACTTTGTGAAGGACCCACATAAACCCGTGGGTTGAATAAAAAGTTCGGTTCGGATTCCCATGTAAAAGAGAGACACCTGAAGAAGGCTGGATTGTACGAAACGTCCTGAAAACAGAAAGCCAGATGAACACGTTAATTCGAATGAGAAAACATTTAAAATAAAGTCTGTGATTTTTGGATGAAATGCAACCTGTGGGCTCACAGGATTAGTTAGTAATAAAAGGATTTTTGTTCACTTGCAAAATAGTTCACCCTGACTTCTCGTAAAAAAACGTTTTTAAAATTTGCGTAAAGTAAGTGATGTTATGACAAACTTGTTTTTTTTTAATGAAAAAATAAATGCACTTTTTACAGAGAAAAGGAAAAACAATCAATGCATAAATTTTTAATCTATTGGTTATTAGTCCACTGTTATGTAAAAAGGAATATCTTGGCAGTTGTCTGAAAATGATTTCCATTCTCTTGTTTAGGGAATGACCTTAACTCTGCTTGTGAAATACAAAAATGTTTAACTCTGTTGAGTTAAAAATAGTTAACAAAAATGTTTAAAAATCTGTCTATATTTCCGAGATGAGGTATTATGCACACTATTTATATTATTCGGACTATTGTCCTCATCTTTGTTGCCATATTTATCACAACGTTTCGGCCGTTGTAAGGTCCGGCCGTCTTCAGGTGGTTGGAATGTCGAACTGAACCATTTATTTCGCCCACTAAGGTTGACTGTTCTAGTTCTATGTGCCATGTCTAATGGATGTCAGTTGTCATTTATCTCCTGTTAATTGTCCTCTCCAAGTTCTCCACTGCCTTAACCAGGTATTGAATTCACAACACTTTGGGTCCGGTCACTGGATCTAACCAACGCCTTTATCTAATGTGCCATGTTTCCTTAATTAAGAAATATTAAAATATTAAAAATTAAAATTAAAAAAAAGTTACAAGAATGTTTAACTCTGCTTGTGAGCCAATTCACAATTTACCGACTGACGCAATTCCTGACAAAAAACAGTGACCGATGTTTTCATTACTAAGCTTTGTACAACAAATGCAAAACTATGAAATAAGAAGATTATGTTGCGGCAATCATCTAAGTGGGAAAGAACTGTCTTTTAAAAGCAACATATTACCTTGACTTGAAATCCGCCCCCGGTCATCAGTGGGAAAAATATTCATTCATCGCGCAGAGAACAGTAAATTATCAAAGAAGATCTCTTACCTCTATAAGATTTCTACATAAAACCCCATAAAACAAAACATATTTAGCATTACATCTATTTTTTAAATAACGTCATAGTCATTATACTAAGTCAACTTGAATTTCCTGGTCTGGACATAGCTTCTACATCGAGTTGGCCATGAGAGAAACCTTTAAATAATTTTCTAATATTTGCACAAATAATAATAATAATAATAATAACAATAATAATAATAATAATAAGAAGAAGAAGAAGAAGAAGCAGAAGAAGAAAAAGAAGAAGAAGAAGAAGAAGAAGAAGAAAACGAAGAAACTAACTTACTATTTTTCACTTGTTTAAATAATTTCGTAAAGTTTCAAGAAAATCTAATTAAACTGAATATTTTATCCTATTAAAATAATTCCATAAAAATTGATTTCCGCACGACTAATTTGTAGTTATGATTAATGTCAGACGACAGTAATGGTTACTACGAACGCTGCAGGAGAAAACCTATCTAACGTAAGGCTGCCTAAAGTCATAGAATTCTATAAAAAATTGTAATATTTAAAAAAATTATTTGGAAGCCAAGATTATATAACTTACGACTGAATTCTGACATGGCAGCTATAAATTCTTTCTATACAAACCCAATGAATTAAAAAAATGCACAACTTTATCGACTGAAATATAGTTCATATAGCACAATTTAATAAGATTGGATTAAAAAATAAATAACACAGTTGGAATATTTATGAAAACATGCTTTTAAAAATTGTTATATGTTTTTAATAATTTCACCACAAGCCAAGCAATGAAGCCACTAAATGTTACAGTATGTGAGAGAATATGAGAGAAAAAAAAGCAATATTAAGGAGAGAAATAATAAGAGAAAAAAATAATGATTGACATTGCATTTAAACTTTTGAAGATCAATGCTAACTGCGAAACAAGAAGCCAGAAGAGAGTTTCACAAGCGGAAGGAAGAAACTGTTAACATAGAACTTACGGTTACATCTAGCAGCTATTTCAACTGTAAAATAATGAGTCCTTGCCACCAATCTAGTACTACACTTAAAATTATAAAGTCTAGATATCAGAGAGGAAATTTCATCAGAAC